CCCCAAAACCCCAAAACCCCAAAACCCCTTTGGAAATTTTAAATATTGAATTAATTATCTTCGGCCTTTCCTCATTGGTTTGAATGCTCGCTTATGAGCAAGGTCAAGTCCTTTGTAATGACCAACAGGAGGAATAAACGACTTTTGCTTTGCTTCATAACTGGCATATCTGATGATCTTAGTAGGTGAAATTTTAAAGCCCTTCGGACGAACTTCCACTCGTTCTAAGGACTTCTCAATCTTATAAGTACCAGGGCCAGGGTCTGGAGTTTTAACAAGCGGCTTAAACCGATCCGATCGGATCGTGTTGAAGCTGACTCCTTTGAACCCTGACTTCTTAAGGATGAGGCTGTCTATCTTCTCATAAGGACCAGGGGTTGCATAAGCTCTGTACATCATTTCATCAATATAAGTCTTGTTCTCTTTAGAAATAAAAACTCCTTTAGATGTTTTCTTCTTCACATTGAGATCATAAGTATCAGGTGAAGGCTTATTCTTAGCTTCATGAAATATGTGCCACATCCACCTTAATTTTGGCCCTTTGGACATTGCAAATTTAGGATTTTTAGACCAGTCCTTAAGATTAGAATACTTGGTTCATTCAGGGATATTTTTATTTAGACTTTATCTCTTTGGCTATGAAGCTATTAGCCTTTGAAGAGCCAAATTTGTTTACGATGACCTTCTTAGGCGCTTGCTGTGTCTGATGGTAGTTTGTTACTCTCTCATTATATTTCTTGATGATATCAGAAGCAATTTCTCTAGGGCTCAATTTGTGCTAAATTTAGCAACTTTTCATACCTTATTTTATATTTAGAGTAGATGTTAGAGGCATCGTTACTCCCCAAGCAGAGCTTGAATCGGAAAAGCAATCTCTACTAGAGTTTCTGGAGGAGAGTTTAGTAGTAAGGTTTGCTCTGTTTCTGGAGACTGATAAACAGCCTTTATTTACGGGGTCCCCAAGAACTAATTTTTATAGATGTTGAAATTACCTTTGTGGGCTGATTTTATTACTTCTTAGAGATGGTGAAAATAGTGGAGAATTTGGCTAAAAAATGTTGAAAAATATTTTTAGAGCATACTTTACCTGAGAACTTATCGTTTGATTCATCCTCTTAATTCCCTCATCTCTCTTCGGGTAGAAGCTAACGTTCATTGGTTTCAATAAATTATTTTATATTTGGGGTTTTGGGGTTTTGGGGTTTTGGGGTTTTGGGG